CTTTATGTTATAAAACTTCTACCTTTACAGTGTGACAATTGCATTTGGTCATGATAACAATTACTTACTATTGAATCATAAGAATCTTATCCCACTCTCCTTTCACCAGACCCGTCTAAACAAGATGAAAACTATTCAGTGGGGATTCTCCCTTCCCCTGCACACTCTGAAACTAAACTCCCTCTTGAAAACTTGTAATCTAGCTACTTTGTGCCTTTATAGCGCCCCCATTTTAGGTAGCCAATGTCTAAGTTGCCCATCCCTATTTACCCTGTGTACAAAGGGAATAGGTTGATCCTTGAAGACTCCTTCCCTCTCAGTTGATATTTTGAGTACTACATCCATAAGCATAGTCAAGTTCCTCAAATTGTAACAATTTACACTTGCTACCTTTTATCAGTTTTTTTATCTTCCTGTTAGTTAAGCTCTGGTCATCAAGCCATTGAAGCTAAGTCAAATGAGTAGTATCTGCAAGTTTGGGTATTCTTGTGCATCTCCCTCCACTTCATATCAGCTGGATACTTCACTTTCAGCTCTAGTCCTCCACGGTAGGTCAGTGTCAGCTCAGGGAGAACTTCTATTTTTCTAGAGTATCTCCTGTAGTATAAATATATTTGATCCTCTTCCAGATAGATTTAAGTTTAAATTTAAAATGGATTAAGGCCTACAAATGTGACAAGTGACAATGTTTTAGTAAAATTCCTAAATAGAATACATATGTAAAAGATGAGGATAGGATATTACATTGGCTGCTCATCATCTCTAACTTGCTTTTTAGTCTAAGAGCAATTTATGGTACAGATGATCTAAGGAATGCACTTCATGGGAGTAATAACTTTGCTGCAGCAGAAAGAGAAATTCGATTCATGTTTCCTGAAGGTGAGTTGCATATGAATAATTTGTCAATTCCACCTGCTTATTATTTGCTTTCTGTTCATATTTTTCCTCCTTATTTCTCCCATTTGCTTTAGCATCTCTACATAGGAGAGCAAGTTTCAGAGTCTCTTCTGACATATATTTTAGTCTTTTCCTTCTTTCTTGTCTTCTTAGTGGCCTTTTGCTTTCTTCCT